CTCAAGCAGGGGGAAAGGGAGAGGGGAGGTGACTGTAAGCATGATCAAAATGGAATTTCTTTTGGTGGGATTTGAAAGTAGGGAGGGAGGGGGTAAGGCAGAGGGACTGAGGAAGAGAGTTCCAGAGTTTCCAGGGCGTAGTAGCTGAAGGCACGGCCACGGATGGTGGAGTGGAGGGGACGAGAGATGAACAGGAGGCTGGAGCCAGGCGAGTGGAAGCAGTAGGTGGGGAAGTGGGGAGTAAGCAGGTCGGACAGGTAGGAAGGTGTGAAGTAATGAAGTGATCTGAACACGAGTGAGATCATCTTGAAATCAATCCATTCAGTAATTGGGAGCCAGTGGAGCCTGGCAAGGATTGGTGTGATGGGGGTACGGAGTTTTGTGCAGATGAGAATCCAGACGGCAGAGAATTAGTTAGAATTAAATAGAATTAGTTCTGCCTGTCCGACATCGAGTCCTGGACGAGAGACAACTTTCTTCAGCTCAACGTGCGAAAAACCGAGGCCCTCCTGATTGGCTCACGTCAGCGCCTCCGCACCTCAGGCGCTGACACCATCAGCATCCAAGGCTGCACTCTCCACCTCTCAAAGCCAGTCAGGAACCTCGGCGTTTTGTTCGACCCTGAGCTGTCCTTTCTCCCTCACATCCGCACCACAACTGGCACCGCCTTCCATCACCTCCGGAATATCGCCAGACTACGGCACTACCTCACCCCTCACGCTGCTGAAACCCTGGTTCACGCCTTTGTCACCTCAAGGCTGGACTATGGGAACTCTCTCCTCGCCGGCCTTCCCGCCACCTCCCTCCACAAGCTGCAGGTCATTCAGAACTCTGCAGCTCGTGTACTGTCCCGCACCAGGACCACATCACTCCCACCCTCGCTCGCCTCCACTGGCTCCCCATCCCCCAGAGGATTGATTTCAAGATCCTCATCCTCACCTACAAGGCTATTCACGGCCTTGCTCCCTCCTACCTCTCCAACCTACTATCCCCCTACCTACCTGCCCGTACCCTCCGTTCCTCTGGCTCCGGTCTGCTCCACGTCCCCCGCCCCAACCGCCCTACTATCGGTGGTCGGGCCTTCAGCCTCTCAGCCCCCAGGCTCTGGAACTCCATCCCCCAGTGCCTTCGCCTTGCTTCCTCCCTCTCCTCCTTCAAGGCCGGTCTCAAAACCTTTCTCTTTGACCGTGCCTTCAGCTCCCCTCTCGACTATCTTCCTCCTCCTCGCTCCCTCCCTTCCCTCCCCTCACCCTGACCATTTCCCCCCTCCTCTCTCCCTCCCTTCCCTCCCCTCACCCTGACCATTTCCCCCCTGCTCGGGTCATGACCCAACTGTGCAGCGCCTTGGGACGTCCTCCTGACGTGAAAGGCGCTCTATAAATGGAATCTTGTTGTTGTTGTTGTTATTTTGTGTATTGTGGAGCTGGGGAGCTCAGTGAGGAGGGCATTGGAATAGTCCAGCCGGGAAGTGACAAAGGCGTGGACAAGAGTAGGGTGGGGCAGGAATATGGAAGTATTTGACGTTTTGCGTGAGGATCTTGATCTGCTAGGGGAGAGGAAGCAGGCTAAGACAGGGATGTTGGGCATGTGGTGTCTAGCAGAGGAGAGGATACTGACTACAGAGTTATGGATGAACTTGTGGGGAGTTAGCTTATGAGAAAAGCATTTGAGAAAGCATGAAAGATAGTTTAGGCTGTGTGGGGAGGGAGGGAAGGCAAAGGCAGACTGAGCCTTATTCTGGAGATGGGAGAAGATGATCGTAGTCAAGGACCAACAATAGGGTAGTAAAAAGGTAGTCCTACAGACTAAATAGGCTATTTGTGTCACACTGCACAGCTCTGTGGGTATAGGTGCAGGAATTCAGACAATGTATTCTAATAAAGCACAACAAAAGCACATGTTGTCAAACAGGTTAGCAGTGAATTCCAAGCACTGAGTCTCTGGGGAGGTGAGGCCTGAGGCTGTGAGAGATTCATTAAGTGCTTCAACTCTTCAGGGAGAGTTACATAAAGAGTCAAACATGCACAAAGAGAGTGAGAGAAAGAAGAGGGATAAATACATACACATAACAGATTAATGGGGGAGGGAAGAAAGAGGTAATTAATAAGGTTTTTGGATTTGCAAACTGTAAAATGTTAAAAGAGCCAGATAAAAGAAGTGTTTCTTCAAAACAAGGCAGCAGCTGCTGTGTGCTGGAGGTGCTACACCTGAAGAAGTAGGTTGAAATCTCGCTCAGTTTTTGACTCATTTCAACAGATCTCTTTAAATATTCTATTCTTTGGTATTTGCAAACCACTGGTTAGTCTGGTGAACAGTCTTGATACACCTCAACATGTTAACCCTACAAATAGGATACAAAGTAATCAACATTTATGTGGCTGGACACCAGACTATTCATATCAAACAATATAATCAAATAACTGTATTTACACACATCTACAGTACAGCTCAAACTAGTAGTCTCCAATGGAGCAGCACCTGAAACTCAATCAAGATCCAATATGTCATTGTCTCAAGTAATGCAAAAGTAACTGCTCATGTTACTGGCAACAGTGATCAGAAATTTTATCCAGCCTCTAGATTAACCATCGGAAGGTAAACGATTTGTTAAAGCTCTAAAAAATTACTGCTGTATATAAACCCACAGCATCTCCCTCTTCTTTCCACCCCCCTCGCCACACTGGGGTGTCCATAGCAACATAAAGGTTAACTGGAATTCACTCAGCATTATTCATTTCCCTGTAACCCTTGACAAATGCAATGGTTTTTAAGTCCTCAGTTTCACTCCTCCACAATTTCTCAACAACAATAAAAAAGAGTATTAATAATCTAACAACAGGTCATGAGGAATTGTGGGAATGAGTCTTGTAAAATTGGGAAATTCTGGGAAATTAGTCGTGGGCTAATACCATCAAATGTGACCAAAATAGTTAAAGCCAGACAGAGAGTATGTGTGTGGTGAGAGAAATAAAAAAAGGATCAAATTTGCTTTATTTCTTAAAGAATCCTATTTCTTAAAGAATTTCTGCTGATCTGAGGGTGCTTTGTGCTGGCGCTGATATAACAACAACAACTTGGATTTATATAGCGCCCTCCACGCCAAACAGAAAGATCCCCATTGCGTGACTTTGATTCTTTATTAAAGAATTACACCACGAATACCGTGAATTAGACCCTGATATGGCACATAAATAGTCTCAAATACTAATCATTTTGTGGCAGCAATCAAATTAATAACTTAGCTGAATAAGACTAAAACCAAAGTAGAATTATTCTTCCACAACTAATACAGTGACTGCAAATTATTATTTGCAAGTTATAATACAACAACTTTTTTTTATATACAGTTACAATCTGTTAACCATCTGCAAATTTCTTGTCATGTTCAAACTGGTGCTTGTCTCCATTGTGCTGACCTCTGCTCTTTCGCCCTGGAATCCTTCCAACTACAAGTACCGAGAAGCTTGAGCCAACAGAAACTCAAGTCAACAAACAAGAGATCACCAAAAAGTGATGTGGACTCTGTGGTACTAATTTTACTCTCTCCTACAACAATGGAGATCAGTCTAAAAACAGGTTCCCCACAATTTGTCAGCCTGGCTCAGTTGGTGGTGCTCTCACCTCTGAGTCAGAAGGTTGTGGCTCCGAGTACCTCCCCCCCCAATAAAATTTGATCATTCACTTCATGGCTGTTTGTGGGGCGATGCTGTGCGCAAATTTGATATCACGGCTGTCTACAAAATACACTCACTACATTTTACAGTAAAACTTAGAAAGCAATTTAATGTGTCCTCCAGATGGGAGACTGATAATGCTTTACCCACCCATCCCCAAAGTTTGACATATTCAACCTTTTTACCAATTAGACATTCAATTGCAAAGCAGCTTTAGCAAGCTGCCATAATTAAGTGATCACTTAAAGTACCTGAATTCAGGAAGATTTTTAAACTTTATTTTAACAATAATTAATCGCAATAGATTCTAAGTAACGATACATGCTCCAATGTCAATTCACCAGAAAATTACCTTCACTTCTCTTCAGAAAATGTTGTCTGTTGTTTGAACATCCAAGATGTGGAAATCACAGTTTGAAAAAAAAAGGGCAGATGCATATACTTCCAAGAACCAAATACCCAGGGTTAGAACTGAAAATGGGCCATCAGATTGCTTTGCTTTAAATAGGAATAGCAGCACTAAGAACCAGCATCCAACCTTCCCACTGCTAACAGAGGCATACAAGTGCTTTGAGATGTCCTTCTGTTGTGAATAAATGTAAATTGCATCGGACTACCAACAATATTAAACTTTCAGATCCACAGTGCAAATGAACGAAATAAACACTCATATAGATTAGCCATCAATCTACTTTTAATTTGCTATCACAGAGTCAGTTTTGCAGCCAGAGGTTTACCCGAATGGTGCATGTGCATTAACCCACCCTCTCCCACCACTCAAATGCTATACTTTTATGATGAATGGCCTCCAACTAGACCTATAAGAAAATAAGTATCCTATTTTGTTTTCATTTTTATTAATCCATAAACCTCAATGATCTAGCACATCCACTGAGCAGCTAGGATCGTGCCTCTGTTAATCTAAATGCAATACTCAGTGGGGGGGGGTGGGACAGAAAAGGTTTCAAAGTCTGTGAACTAATTGTGGATTAGTTGAAGAAAAATAAAATCAAGATCTAACTCGATTTTTCATAATGTTCTTAAAATTTTATTTTTCAAAACAGCAAATAAGATGTAGCGAGACAGTGTTCCAGGCATTCAGATTATAAAAAGACAAAATAATGAAGTGTCTCAAATGTTTGCTTATCTGGTAAACATATAATTCCCTATCTAGATTTCGCTTCTCGCCACTAGCTGCATTATTAAACTAAATTTGGAGTGAAGATGTGTTTACCTCCAAACACAGTCACCACACTTTACAGTAAATCCTGTGTAGCCCATTGATTGATTTAAAAACAGCTTGATGCTGTCTGTTTTCACTCTTACCTATCCAACGTCTCCACTTTGTCTCTTCAAATAGCTTCTCCTCCCGTCCCCACACAGGTCTGTGTCCTCAGTCCTCTCCTTTTTAATGTCAACATGCTCCCGATATCATCTGAAAACATCAGGCTAACTTCCACATGTATGCAGATTACACCCCACTCTATCGGTTTGCCTCCACCTTTGATTCCAGGACCACTGCTGTCCTGACCGACTACTAGTCGGACATCAATCCTGGATGAGCTCTAACTTTCTTTAGTTAAACATCGACATGACAGAAGCTCTACTGTTTGGCTCCTGTCAGCATCTTCTCACCACAAGTGCTGACAGCTTCAAACTACTTAGATTCATAGATTCATAGAATGTTACGGCACAGAAGGAGGCCATTCGGCCCATCGAGTCTGTGCCGGCTCTTTGACAGAACAAGTCATTTTCACTAACCCCAATCACCAGCTTTCTCCCCATAACCCTGCAAACCCGTCTTCCCCAGATACCTACCCAGTTCTCTCTTAAAAGCTGTTATCGAATCGGACTTCACTATCCTTTCAGGCAGATCACTCCAAATTCGAACAACTCGCTGAGTGAAAAAATTTCTTCTAACCTCCCCTCTGCTTCTTTTGGTGGATGCACATTCCACCTCACGGAGCCTGTGTGAAACCTCAGTGTGTTGTTCAATTGTTCGACTGAATGTTCGACTCTCAACTGTCCTTTAAATCTCACATTTGTGCTCTGACCCGCTGAGCTTTTCCCCACCTCCATAACATTACCCGCCACTACACTACCTCTCCCCTCGAGCCACCAAGACCCTAATCCACACTTTTATCGTGTCCAGGCTCAATTATGCCAATTCTCTGTTAGGTGGACTACCCACCTCTTCCCTCCACATGCTCCAGAATATCCAGAACTCTGCAGCTTGTGTTCTTTCCCGCCTTAGTCTCTGGGAGCCTATCATCCCCAGTTTCGTGTGGCTCCACTGGCTCCTCATCCCCAAGCATATTGCGTTCAAGATCCTCATCCTAACCTTTAAATCTCTCCATGGTCTTGCCCCACCCTATCTCTGCGACCTCCTCAAACCCTACTTATGTGGCAGCTCCCTCCACTCAGCGATCATTGGCCTGCTTCATGGCCCCCACTCCACTTGTCCCACTGTCGGCAATTGGATTTTCAGTTTATGATAATAATAATGAGAATAATAATTAAGAATTTTTTTTACAAAATGTTCCTTGCATTTGATATAATACCTTTCACTTCGTCAGGAGATCTCAAAGCGCTTCACAGGATATATTGTAAGGTGGATTGGCTGTGTATTTTGTGAAGGAAACGTGACAGCCAGCTGCACACAGAAATGTCCCACACATAGCAATGGAGTAAGTGACCAATTTTATTTGGGGGACACCCCGAGAAACTCCCTTCGCTTTTCGAATAGTACCCTGGGATCATTAACACCCACCTGAACAAGGAGACAGGACCTTGGTTTAACATCTCATCTGAAGGACAGCACTCCTACAATGCAACACATCCCCTGCACTGCATTGGAGTGTCATCTTAGACAATGTGATTCCAACTCCTGATGTGGTGTTTGAACCCACAACCTTCTGACTCAAAGGAGAGAGTGCTGATTTACTCCTACATGAGGTCCCTACACTGAGTTCTTTTGTAAAATTTGAACTGCAAAATAATATGTGTTATTATGCCATCTGCATTAGTGCAGTTCAAATGAATTAATGAAGCATTATTATTTTTATACACAGTTGAATTACACTTCATCCAGGTCCATTGAGTTTACCCTTGAGCTAATTGCTATTTGGGAGACTGTGAAAAAGTACAGGAGGATGTAACAATTTCTAGCAAGAATGGACAAGCATCAGTTCCCTTTTACACCCACAGTATTGGGATCTCAGACTCTGCTGGAGAAGCGTGTGTAGTTTCATCAGCTGTAAGCCATTCCAAAGAGTGCAGTCTGAAAACAACCGAACTTAAACAGATATAGCCAGCTTGCATTGACGTAATACAATAGGGTTGGAGACTGTTGTAGAGCAGATTGACCGATAGTCAAAACCTTTCTCTTTGACCGAGCCTTCAGCTCCCCTCTCGACTCTCTTCCCCCTTCTCGCTCCCTCCCATCCCTCCCCTCACCCTGACCATTTCCCCCCTCCTCGCTCCCTCCCCTCCCCTGACCATTTCCCCCCTGCTCGGGTCATGACCCAACTGTGCAGCGCCTTGGGACGTCCTCCTGACGTGAAAGGCGCTTTATAAATGGAATCTTGTTGTTGTTGTTGTTGTTGTAGTCAAAGTTGCTTACCACACCAATACAATATCAGCAGTATTCCTTCATGCTGCTCTGGGACGTTGCCACTCAATTCTCTAAACTAGAGGCCAGTTTTTGATTATGACACTGAACTATGAAAAGTGTAGGCGAGATATGACAAAGTGATCAGGACCAGTTAAGTGGATCATAACGTAAATCAATACACTATTTTGGAGATTGCAATTCATATTGAATCCAAAACATATTTGCAGAGAAGAGATAGTCGTTAACACACAATCAGATCCAGTTGGATGGACATCTGCAATAAATCCATTAATTCCTGATATAAACATCAAATCCTTCCCACTTGTTAATGAAGTGCAGGTGTAATTAAACACAGGCCCATTAGCACCCATTCCGCATCATCCTGTTTGCAAAGATACTTGAAGCATGCTGTGTGTTGAAGAGCAAGGAGACAAGAGTGTACATGAAGCTCACAAGTTTCTGTTATGGAATTTAGGTTTTACCTACTGTCATTGCCTCAACCACTGTAGTAAAAATGTAAATAAATGTAAATTTGTGTTGTATTGTGTTGTGAAGGAAAGATGGTAGGGTGGGTGTTCAGGAAGGATACTCTGTCAATGAGTGGAGTAGAAGCGGTATGGAATTTTGCTAATTTCAATCAATGCACAGTTTTACAACCTTACAGAGCCAGAGGGTAAGGCATTCCTAATGGCCTCTGGTGCCATTTTACTGAAAGCACTCTTCCGTGCAACTCATCTGACAACTGGCAAGATAATGACCTGCTTATTTGCACTGTGCCTGGAGGTCACTTTCTTTCCAGGAGCCTGAAGAAATGCCGGTATACTGACATGAAAGCTTGCATTAAAATGATCTTGCTTGTACTTATTCTGGTGATGTGCATGGATGCTTCTGCCACTAAACAAAGCATTGCTTTAGGGAATATTACAGACCATGAGTAAAATGTGTATCCCTGGTAGACTTCGTAGAGAATTTGTGATTATTAGTATAAAATTTAGTCTTCTATGGCTACTCAATCAGATTTGAAACTTGTTTTGCCCATCTTAAGTCATTGCATAACATACTACACAAAACCCATTATTTCATGTCATTGATTCAAAGAGGAATTGCTGCAATCAACGTCATGAGATCAATAAACAGAACCTAGCAAATTAACTTCTGCTTGTTTACATTTCAAAGCCATCAATACAATCAGCTTAGATGTATCAGGCAGGGCTCAATGGAGAGAGTGGCTTATAACTTGGTAATCTGTCTCATCTACAATACTTTAGAACAAATCATTGAAAATAAATTTATGATGTTATTATGCTGAAAGTGTATCTCAACTAGACAGTAATCAAACTGCAATTTGGCTCATATGCATCAATGCCAAGAGTCAAATGGGATTTTTAAAAACATGCAACCACGCTCAGTCCAAGAGCCATTATAGAAGATCAATGTTGGAATTCTGGCCTGGCCCATTAGAAATTGATCTATTCTTAATGTAAGAGTTAATCTACTGCCACAATAAAACAGATCCAACATCAATGTTGAACATTGTAGATTTTTTAAAACTTCCTTGGGCCGGCAGGACTCCCAACTCCGAACTCTCCTGGTGCAAGGCAACACCAATGCTGGGCAGCCTCACTGTCCTGCTGGCCTTCACAGTGGCCACAGATATCAATTTTAATTCAGATTGTTTAAAACCTATGAGCAGAAGATAAACTTATTCACTATCTTCTGCTTGTGGGATTCAAACAGTTACAATGTCGGGACCTGTTTTGAAAAATCCCTGTATCGGCGTTGCAATTACACTAAGGTGGAAATTCTCTCCCCATTAGTCCGGGTTGAAATCTACTTCACAGGATTTACAGTAAAGTGCAGTGACTGCAAATTGTAGGCAAATGCAGCAGCCAACTTGGCACAGCCAATGTCCCACAAACAGCCCTGAATTGAATAACCAATTGTCAGGTAGGAGGACACTGGGAGAAACTTACTTCACTTTTTTGAACTGTGCCATGGAATCTTTTACAACACTCACTCCGGGACTCTATCCTGGGTGAAGGGCGCTATATAAATGCAAGTTGATGTTGTTGTTCACCCAGGACAGCGTCTCTGAGCACTTTTTTACATCCGAAATGGCAGTCAGCACTTTGGCTTACAACACTTCCGATAATACAGCACACACCCAGCACTGTATTAGTGTCAGCCTCCTAGACTATGAAGTCAAGGTCTTGGTGTGTGGATGGAACCCACAACTGTCTGAACCAGACTGTAGCTGAACCTAGCTCCCAACTGAGCTAGGCTGACACTCAATTCACATGGTTAAGATTATAGCAATTCCAAAGCACCGGTGAGTATTTTACTGACCGCTAGGCTTTTTAAAATACAGAATTGCCAATCTTATTTGTTATATAAATGCATAAATGCTCGTACTGTTCTCCAAATCGTATTCACATTCATGGATATTTGGCTATATTTGAGAAAGGGAAATCAGGAAAAGAAATAACATGCCTTTCATTATGTTTTCTGATAGGCAAATTTCTAATAGAAAATAAAAAGGTGGAATTTGTTTTTTAATAAAACGCATTTGCATTTTCAAATAAAGCCTGATTGTGGAATACTGTAGCATGTTGGTCAGAGCACTCGCATTGCAAGAAACATTAGGCAAATTTCCTTTTACTCCACACGCCTCAGCTTACCTAACAGTAAGTGGAAACCTGGTTGTTAGTCGATTAGTGGATTCCAGGGATAATATAAGACCTGAAAAAAATTTTCTTAAATA